AGCCACCATGTATCCTAGCTTGTTAGCTTTGAGTGTATGAGTCATGAGCATGCTTTATTTGGGTTATTTTAGTGATTTGGAATCATTTATCATGCTATTTCAGTCCATGCTCCATGCTTGTATGCTTGCATTTACCATCCTTTCAAAGCTTTAAAGGGTTGTTCTTTTGTGCCTTAAAATAGGTCATTGTGCATGCCTCTTTGTTTAAGTCCTTGGGCCACCATATCAGTGGGTTTTGGGACTCCTTTTGGCATATTATAGCTCTGTTTTTCTTTGAATAATCCATGCCATGTGTGGTTAAGGTAGTTGTAGTGGAGTGCTCTCGTTGTGGCTTTGAATGCCCCTCATTTTTGCGCCCATTTCCTAGCATGTTTTGGTCTCATCCCATGCATGTTCTAGCATTATTTTGACCTGCCATGGGACTGTTTTGGGTCACCTTGGTCCTTTGGGGCTCAGTTGATATGGCCATGGTTCAAGTCCTTTGGCTAGCTTTGAGCTTTAAGTTCATTAGCATGCCATGCTTGTCTTGTTTAGTTGATTTGGCATCACTCTTAACATGATTTCAGAGTCTATTGTATTGTCATATTCTCATGTACTCATATTTGAGGATTGTGCATTGTTGCATAGTTTATGGATCAATGTGTGAACATGCGTGTTTTGTCCTTTCGGCGCCTTAATTCATCACTTTGGCTATTGTTTTGGACGTGGCTGAGGTCTTCCCACTATGGTCTAAGTCCATCTTTGTATATAACCACATGCTTAACATGGTACATCTTGTTGCATACTTGCTAGTTTACCTTTTGTCATATACTCGTGTAGGTTGCTTTGCATTTGGCATGCTCGCTACTTTAGCCTTTGTGCGCATGCTTGAGCCATGTTGCACTTGGCATATTCATGTTACATTGCATTACTTTAAGTCGGCATGTTCATGTTGTATTGTTTGCATGCATTGCACTATATTTGGCATACTTGCATGCATTGCATTGTTGTTTGGTTTGAGGTGTCAAACCAAACATAAGGATCAAGGAACGTTTCGTACTTAAAGTGACGAAGCGTGCCTCAATCCTCGGTCGCCGACACTCTTGACCCAACATGATAGAGTGTGTAGCATTCATCTGTTTGTTGCATTCATTCCATATTGATATGCACCTTTGACACCTTTGGCCATCATGCATCGATGCGTGATTGGTGGCCCGAGGGTCGAGAGCCATATTCCCTTGAGTTCATAGCATGATAGGGAGGGTTGTTGTGCATACATTTGGCTTGCAAATTCCATGCCATGCACTGTCTGTCCTCTGTTGCAGCAAAAACAGTGTTCTACAGGAAGAAATGGCCGGTCGGCAATTTTCAGTGCCGACAGACTACCAATATCCAGTCGATGGTCCCATCTTTGGTCGATGACTATCCTTTCATTACCGGTAGTCCTGTCTCTTGGCCAGTGACCTCCCACAATGTTCAGGGAGTTGTTTAGAAGCAGCCTTGGGACTTGTACAGCTTTTAGAGGCATGAAACAGTACAAACAGAGGCAACAGTTGGCATGGCAACGGGTTTCCGAGCGAGGCGAATCGAGCATACATCATCTAATCATTTTGAGGCGGAGCTGCGGCGGCCTCTTTTATTTCATACTTAGATTGTTTTGTAATTAATTTGTTAATTAATTAAGGGTTTTGTAATATTTAATTAGTTAGGATAGTTGATTACTTATTCGGTCTGTATTATTTATTCAGACCCTCCGCGAGAGGGCGAACTTTGTAATAAGTGTGCGTGTGTGTGATGCATGTTTTTCAATCCCACGTCTTTCTCCCTTTTATTTACCAGCTTATGATGGTTAGTTTTAGGGCATGTTTCAATTAGCATCTATATATTCGCATGTTTGCATTCATCCGTATTGCACGCACCGGGCTCGGCGCATCATACTAATTGCATAGCATTTCAATTCCAACTTGAACACGTGTATCGAGTTGCCGCATTTCACATGCCATTCTTACAATAACCGAGCCTATTTTAGTTGCATTTTGCATGTGTTGCATTAGCCATCTTAACGTGAACTAGGATCATGCATGATTCCTAACTAATTTCTTGTTTTGGCTCGGAGTACTAGGTAAGCTTTTATGCTTTAGCATCTTACATGAGTGTGAGTGTTGCCATGATAGCATGCTTACCATGAGGCTATGTGCTTATGTGATATAACTGCATGAATGCCTGTGGGTGAAGGTTGGGTTGCTTGAATTGGAATAATTCGTTGAAATTCGTGCTTTAGCCTACTTGCAAGCAGCAAAACTCAAACCATTTTCCAAACAAATGGATATGTGGTGCTTTGTTCCAAATTAGGCAATCTAGTCTATACTTATGTGTTGTGCGTATCACATAGTAATTCTAGGTTAATAACCGGAATAAGAGCACTTGTGTTTTCAAAAAACTCGATATCATGTTTAGTAGTGGTCGATCTTTGATCGGGCGAGCGGGGGTGCTCATTGCATGACCTTCCCCCAATCGTACCCAAGTTCTCGAGCCGAGACAACTTTGGTGATGACAGACACGTGGCCTTAGGCAACGAGTCAGGGTTTCCTGAATTCTCCCAAAAATAAATATTTAGGTGGTGACTCTGTATCTGGCAAAGCAGTCCATGTTTGGCACTTCTTTCTAAAAATCAGTTTTTTAGAAACGATTTGCCGGATTTGGACTCTTTGATGATTCATCAGTCTTGCATTGTACTCTACGAGATTAGATACAGGACCGTAACATTGAGTCTTAAACTGTAGTAAGCCCAAATGAACAAAACGAGATTCCCTCCCTTGACGTTCGGGGACGTCTACACCCTATCTCCAACCCTCAACCCCACTAACAATCAATAACATGAAAAACCTCCACTATCTCTCTTTGTTCAACCCTTAAATCCCACTACCATTACACAAGCAACATTTTGTTGCAAAATAATAATAATAATAATAATTCACCATCAAATTTGTAAGAAAGAAAGAGATCTCCCATTGTCACTTTAAAACAAACCCATCGTCGCCAAAACCTAGTATAGGGTTTGTTTGGGAAGATCACTTGGGCTAAAATAGCTCTATAAAACAAAATATGTTATTTTAGTCAAATAAGACAAAATGTCACATCTAACCCATAATCATTTTATTTTTCTCTTACAAAAGTCAAAAATGTCAAAAAGTCTATCCCAAATGATATTTTTTAGCCTTAGGATAAAATAACCAAAAAATCAAAAAGTCAACTAACATCCCAAATGAAGGCTTAATGAGAGAGAGAGAGACATCCCGCTCCTGTTGATTTCGCTCTTTTCCTAGATCCACTCCAGTCAGCTTCTTTATTTTTTCTAGTCTCATTCTCGTTGGCTCCTGAAGATTCATGTGTTCAAGTTGATAATCTCCTAGCTTAAACACCACTGTTATCCTCATCGCATCGCCCATGTCAATTAAATCCACCACAAGACCAACATTTCCCTTCAAAACCCACCTCAATCCCTTTAATCATACATCCAAAGAGACCAATCACTAGTTATCGTTGCCTCTTGGCCTTTTCCAACCCTACGACCGTTAGTTCCTTCCCTTCCCTAGCCTACTATTGTCGATTCATTCGCTCATCACCGTCGTAACTCCTTCCTCCAGTTCTGCTTTTGATTCCCCTTTTGCTCAACCCCACGGGTCAACTTCCTTTGATCCCTATTTCTTATCTCTATTTTATATACAGAAATCGGTGGAGTTAGCTCAATATGAGTTTAACTGATGGAGCTTTTTTGTTTTATTTTTTGTTTATTTAGGTTGAATTGGCATTTTTACCCCCAAAAATCTATCATATGAAATGCACATGTTTAATTTCTATTAAAAAAATTAACTTTTATTATTCATTGAACTAGAGTGACACAAAAGTAAAGTACATAGATTATCAGTATAATTTGTTCAAAAAATTTAAAATCTATGTGTAATTCGAACAACTTGAGTTTAACTTAGATTGGATTTAGACAAAAAAAATCTCAAGTTACAATTCACGCTTAAATAAGTTTCAATACAACTTAAATTATACTTAAACAACCTTTCAATCCATTCAAATCGGTCTGAGTTGCATCTCCATAAATCATCAATTCCTAATTTTTCCTTAGAAAAATATGAAATTTAGGAGTTATTTGGGATGCTCTAAATAAGTGTATTTTTTGACTTTTTTTATGAAATATGAATTGGGTATAGGTTGAGTTTAAAGTGATGTGGTAGAGAGGTGATGCAACTTAAATAAGATGATGTGACTTAAATAAAATTGTGATTTTTTGACTTTTTTAAAAGATGACAAACAGGGCCTTAATTTTAAAAATAATATTAGATATCATGAAAAAATATCATAAAATAGATTATCAGTGTAATTTGTTCAAAAAAATTAAAATCTATGTGTAATTCGAACAACTTGAGTTTAACTTAGATCGGATTTAGACAAAAAAAATCTCAAGTTACAATTCACGCTTAAATAAGTTTCAATACAACTTAAATTATACTTAAACAACCTTTCAATCCATTCAAATCGGTCTGAGTTGCATCTCCATAAATCATCAATTCCTAATTTTTCCTTAGAAAAATATGAAATTTAGGAGTTGTTTGGAATGTTCTAAATAAGTGTATTTTTTGACTTTTTATGAAATATGAATTGGGTATAGGTTGAGTTTAAAGTAATATGGTAGAGAGGTGATGCGACTTAAATAAGATGATGTGACTTAAATAAAATTGTGATTTTTTGACTTTTTTAAAGGATGACAAACAAGACCTTAATTTTAAAAATAATATTAGATATCATAAAAAAATATCATAAAATACTTCATAAAAATTTTTAATCTCTTAATTAATACGTGATATTTTATTATATATATAATATAAGAATGAAAAATGTTTTACAATATTTTCATAATTCGTAACATTACTTTAATTTTAAGGAGAAAGAGGAAAACACAACATATATAAGCTTGAGAAAGGAGGTGCGCAGCTTAACTATCGTACGCCGGACTTTTGTCCAAATCCATCGTGTTGCGCTCTCAGGCTCTCACCACATAATTTTCCCCTTCCCTTCCCCTTCCCATCTCTCTCTCTCTCTCTCTCTCTCTCTCTGCGTGTTCATCAAAATTAAAACCAGACCAACATATACATACACATACACATACACATACATAGATTATATAGATATAGAGAGAGAGAGAGATAGAGAGAGAGATTACGTAAAAACGGAACAATGAAGCATCCGAACTTACCCTCACCATCATCATCTGAGGCCGTCTCATCGTCATCGGACCAATCACAGCCGTCCGTACACATGACGTCATCGCCGTCCTCGTCGTCGACGACTCAATTGGAGAAACCCTCGGCGGTGGTGTCAGCGCCGGCGGCGGAGGATCCGGCGGTGTCTCGAGATGCAACCGGAGGCCAAGAGTCGGTGACGGTAGAGCGGCACGGCGAGTTTGCGGCGGTGTGTAAATGGAGCATCTTCAATTTCCCCAAAGTTAAAGCTAGGGCACTGTGGAGCAAGTACTTCGAAGTCGGAGGCTACGATTGTCGCCTCTTGGTTTACCCTAAAGGCGACTCTCAAGCTCTTCCTGGTTACATCTCAATCTACCTCCAAATCATGGACCCTAGAGGCACCTCTTCTTCCAAATGGGACTGCTTCGCTAGCTATCGTCTCGCCGTTGTCAATCCCCTCGACAAATCCAAATCGATTCATAGGGATTCTTGGCACCGCTTCTCTAGCAAGAAGAAGTCTCATGGTTGGTGTGATTTCACTCCCTCTGCCTCGATTCTTGACCCTAAATCTGGTTTTTTGTTGAATAATGATTCAATTCTTATTACTGCTGATATACTCGTATTGAATGAATCGGTAAACTTTTCCCGTGATAACATTGAAATACAATCCAATTCGATGACCTCGTCGTCGGTTGTGAGTGGACCGGTTGGTGATGTTTTGAGTGGAAAATTCACTTGGAAGGTTCATAATTTTAGTTTATTTAAGGAGATGATTAAGACCCAGAAGATAATGAGCCCGGCATTCCCGGCTGGAGAGTGTAATTTACGGATTAGTGTTTACCAGAGTTCAGTTAATGGGGTTGATTACTTGTCTATGTGTTTGGAGAGTAAGGATACTGAGAAGACTCTGGTTTCGGATCGCAGTTGTTGGTGTTTGTTTCGAATGTCAGCATTGAATCAAAAGCCAGGGTTGAATCACATGCACAGGGACTCTTACGGGCGGTTTGCAGCGGATAATAAAAGTGGTGACAATACGAGTTTGGGGTGGAATGATTACATGAAGATGTCAGATTTTATTGGGCCAGAGTCGGGGTTTTTGGTGGACGATATGGCAGTGTTCAGTACGTCATTCCATGTGATTAAGGAGCTTAGTAGCTTTTCAAAAAATGGGGGGTTGATTGGGTTTAGGAGTGGAAGTGGCCTGAAGAAGTCTGATGGGCACATGGGAAAATTCACTTGGAGAATTGAGAATTTCACACGGTTGAAGGACCTTCTGAAGAAGAGGAAGATTACTGGTCTTTGCATCAAGAGCAGGAGGTTTCAAATAGGGAATCGAGATTGTCGCCTTATTGTTTACCCCAGAGGTATGCAAGATTGTTGCACTAGGTTCTTTGTTCTTCAAATTTTTATAGTTGATAGTTCTAAATTTCCAATTATTGATTATGCAATTAGACGATGTTGTTATGTTATTCTTCTCTTCTATGGATTACTGAGGAAGTCAGTTACCACATCTTTCAAATTGAGGATGGATACGGCTCATTATTTTCACACTGATACTTGCACTAGGAATTATTTGAGCTAGATATGAGTTGCTTAGCCTGTGCATGTATGGATTGTTGAGCTATTATTCCTACCATGTTAGAAATAATTAGGGATTGACTTATCAATTGTATACTGATCTTTTGCACATGGTTTTATATGAACTAAACTTACTGTCGCTTGGGTTGTGCATATGAAATTGAACTGATGAATTACATGGATTAGTAAGGACCATTGGCTCCTATATAATTTTAATGGAGAAAGGGACATAACGTGTAATTTTATTCTGAACCATGCAATTGAACTTTATTAGCTAGGTAGATAGTTGCTTAGGTCATGCTTAGGAAACTGAACTGACTTTGCTTGCTGGTATCAGGGCAGTCTCAACCACCATGCCACCTTTCGGTATTTCTTGAAGTCACGGATTCACGAAATACTTCCAGTGATTGGAGTTGTTTTGTGAGCCATCGACTGTCGGTAGTGAACCAAAGGATGGAGGAAAAGTCTGTTACAAAGGAGTCTCAGAACCGTTACTCTAAAGCTGCAAAAGATTGGGGTTGGCGTGAATTTGTGACACTGACTAGCCTCTTCGATCAAGATTCTGGATTTCTCGTTCAGGATACAGTTATATTCTCTGCGGAAGTTCTCATTTTGAAAGAGACATCCATAATGCAGGATTTCACTGATCAGGATACTGAGTCGTGCAGTGCTGGTTCCCAGGTTGCTGGGAAAAGGAGTTCATTTACATGGAAAGTGGAGAACTTCCTCTCCTTTAAAGAAATAATGGAGACCCGAAAAATCTTTAGCAAATTCTTCCAAGCTGGTGGATGTGAGCTTCGGATTGGTGGGTGAATTTTTCTTTTTCATCAACCCCTTTCTCCACTGAAAATGTGATTGCAGTCGTTCACCTCCTTAATTATTTTGTTTTTTGTTTTTGTTTTTGTGATGCAGGTGTGTATGAGTCCTTTGACACTATATGTATATATCTAGAGAGTGATCAATCAGTTGGCACTGATCCGGATAAAAACTTTTGGGTCAGATACCGGATGGCTGTAATGAATCAAAAAAATCCTGCCAAGACTGTATGGAAAGAGTCTTCTATTTGTACAAAAACATGGAATAATTCTGTGCTTCAATTCATGAAGGTGTCGGATATGCTTGAAGCAGATGCAGGTTTCCTTTTACGTGACTCAGTTGTCTTTGTTTGTGAAATCTTGGACTGCTGCCCATGGTTTGAGTTTTCAGATCTAGAGGTTAGTTTATATTTAGCCTATTCACTACCTATGCATTCCTGTCGTTAATGATGATTTGGAACCCATTTCTCTTCCAAATTTGTTCACCAGAGTCCTGACCATTCCAAAAGTGTCACTGATGGAGGTTTTCTATATCTTGATTTTTGAGATTAAACTAGCGGCTTTACGTTCAAGGCACTTTCGTGTGGCTTTTAATTTTCCTTCTAATTAAATTAGCTGCCTAACTTGGCTGGCTTTAGATGCTTTTTAAAAGGTCTAGATGACAATGCTGGGATGAAACTAAAGGTATTTTGCATAATCTTATGGTTTCAACTGGGTTTCTGCAACCATGAAACCATTATGCAATCCTGAAAGAAGGAAGTGACTGTTAGATGCTACTTTGACCAATGGCTTCCTCAAATGCTTCTGCGCCTTTTTTTTTTTTTTGAAAATGTTACCGTATTTGTTTGGATAATTAAGTAAATCAAGTGAGTAGAGTGTGGGAAGCCCATGTACACAGTTAGTATACAAGAACTAATAAAACAATGCACCCCACCACCAAAGTTTCAGTTCATATGAAATTAAAAAATAGAACTAGATCAACATTACTTTCTTCAAAGAATGAACTTGAATCTCGATGTCATAAATGTTATGCTTATTTTTCTTCTGCCAAATGCTCCACATATATCGATGAGCAACCAACTAACATTGCTTGATCTACTGGCACAACCATGGTAGCAATGCACTATTAACTCACCTAGGAAGGCATGACCCCACTGGACTTTGGGGTGAGAAGCATATTCCACAACCCACTAGCCACCTCACGACACAAAAGAAGATAATTCATTGTTACCTTTTTGTTTGGCAAATGCATCATCAATTACGAATTCAATGCAAAATAGCTTCCAGAGCTACCTTTAAACAATAAGGAGACATTTGAAGACACCTATTGGCGGTTCTTGATGAGTGGATTGATTATGGGCTCACTACTAGTAATTATGGTAGGAACCGAAATGGCGCAGGATGACCTGAGGTAGAGAGGGAGAGAGTTGAGGCATCCATTGAGGGGAGAGAGAGAGAGTGACAGTGAGGGAAAAACATTGAGCTAACTAGAGATGGAGATATTGTATGATGGTGATAGTTTGGTTCACTATGAGGGATGAATTTCCTTTTTATAGTAAGCCCAGAAATAGGATAATATGGGATCATATGCATGTTTACGATAAATGGAATTTGGAATATTGATAAAGATGTTGAGCATGTTAGGCGTGCTTGTTAAGCACGAGAAACTACACACCATCATGAAGTTGATCCCATGTGGAGGTCTCTCTTTCGTCTTAAAAAAAAAAAAATTTGGTTAAAGTGGAGCCTACCCTACGCTTACCCTGAGGGAGAGTGAGGTGAGCCACTTTAATGAGCTCTCAGCTTTAGTCAGTCAGCAATTGACTAGTCCTTGTTGATCTCATGAGTGGGTCATGGGCTCTCGAGCAACCCCATGTTATGCACCAACCCTTGAGGCGAGGGTTCACTAGGACAATGCTCTTGGCTTAGCCAGATACTTCAGGATCAGGGTGTGATTTGGAGAGTCAAAGTATTAGGTGATGATTGGCTTAGGAGTGGAGAATTTCACTCGTCCAAATTGAGGGAGGAGGTCATGCCAAGTGTGACAGGAAGATGGTGTGCTTGGCTAGACAATGAGGGGTCCCTTGGCAATAAGCTAAAATAGCAAAAAAGGCAAAGAGTCACTAAAAAAACCAAAACTCCATACAAAAAAGTCACAGATTTATTTCCTTTCTCTCTACTTTTTGCACGTTTTTTCATAAAAAGTCAAAAATTCGTTCCCAAATACCTCAGTTTTTTTCACTTCATATTTAGCTAAAAGGCACTAAAAATCTAATTTCCAAACAAACCTTGAGCATGCTTGATACTTTGGAGAGGGATTGAGGCATAAGGGGGACACACCCTAATAGATAATCATTCAATTGAGCTAATAGGGTATTAAGCAAATTGCCACAATTGGGAGTGGAGAATTATTGAGTAAGCTAAGGGCCACTGCTAGCTCTATGACTTAATCATCAGCCCAATTGTGGTTTCGTCCTTGGTGCCATGGTTCAGGAAAGGCACCGTGTGCATTAGTTGGCTAGGTTTCAAGTGTGGTTGGTCTAAGTGTCGTTGGCTCAAACACATGACCCTAATTCATGTTGTAGAGATGATATATATATTTGGATAGGCAAATGTGTATATTAATCTTGGTTATCAGAATCTCGATTTGGATCATACGATCCTACGATCCATTTGGGCGCAATCGATCCGGATCGTACAAAATATTTCCTTCAATTAGGGTCTATCTATCCTGGTAATTGGATCTTATAAAATCTTGGAATCTTGATTTGGTTCTGATCCTTCCGATTCAATTTGTAAGCATTGTTGTATTATATGAGCTAATTTATTGTAAATTTAATGTTACCTAAATGCCAATTTTTATGTGGTCCAAGTAAATACAAAAATAAGCCATATTGATTCAAATGGACTAAAATAACAAACTAGGAAACACATTCAAATATTTGAGTAATTTAAGAAAACTATAGTTGAAAAAAACAAACTTAGTTATAGTGGGGTTTGTTTTGAGGAGGCTATTTTCGTGACTTAAACCTGCACCACCGAGTATTTTAATGACAAGCCTTATCATTCGGCCATGTCGTTCCTTTTGAGTTTTTAATCTATTTTCAAATCCAACTTTATTAAACATTTTTGCTTTACTTTTTATGCATTATTGTAGAATGCAAAGTGTTCTGTTATTATACTCTTCTTCTTTACCTTAAATTTTTTCTATCAAGTTTTCTATTGTATTATATTATATTTATATATATTTTTCCACAATATTTTACTTTTTTTTGAAGTATAATTTAGACTTAATTTTTCTGTATACTTTTTAAGAATTGTTTATTTAAATTAAATTATTATGTAAATTTTTTTTGGTAGGATCTTATGATCCGTGATCCAATCTTGTAAACTCCTCTAATGATCCCATGTGGGATCCCGATTTTAATAACCTTGATATTAATAAAAAAAAAAAGGGCATCAAAATGTGTTCCTATGTACAAAGTAAAAAAGGGTCAATGCAAAAATTGGGCTCGATTGAAAAATCTATAAAAGAAAGGAGGATTCTTAGAAAATCATTTCCTTCAAAAATGATTTTTGGCGAGCATCTTTTTACTATTGAATGATCTTGTGAACCTGAGTTTATCTTGGGCATTTATGTGGCTATCATCGATGAAGGTTGAGAGTGGTCTCATCTTTTTGGCTATTGTTTTAAAAACCAGACTAGACTTGCTAGTTGAACTGGTTAACCCGACAATTGGTCATAGTTTCGGTTTGGACATAAAACCAAAACCGCTTCAACTTAAAAACCGGCGTATTTGGCAAGAATCGGATAAAACCGTGGTTTAACTGGCAAATTGTGAAATCCAGTTCCGGTTCATTAGAACCACTTGGACAAGTGCAACATGTGCGTTAAGCTATGACAGCTTTATAGAACCAAAATGGGTTCGTCACTTCCACATACAAGCGATGTGGGAATTCGGCATTTGGAGCCAAAAGGTTTAAAAACGGTTGGATGCCTCATAGAATGTGCTTCTTCGATGTGGGACTAATGAACTTTGTAAAGAGCCTATTTAATGAAGCCTTTTCTTTGAGAATCTATTTCAAGAAAATATTAAACAATTTAAGAAATATTATTTAAGAAAATTTTAGTTTGGTATTTTTTTTTTTTGTAATTTTAATACCTATAATTTTTTTATATTTAATTTTAAATATGTATAAGGTTATTATGACATCACGGTTCGACCTCGGTTCACCCAACGATTGAACTAGTGACCCGTGGCTCGGTCTCTTTTTTGGTTTGCTCATCGGTCCAGGTTTTAAAACATTACTTTTGGCAAGCTTTTTCCTTTCTCTTATGCTCAACTATACACGTGAGTGTTGTACCGCACACATGCAATTTCAATCAATGTTGTCAATCTTGTACTGGTCAATGCACCATTTTTTCATTGATATGGTATGTCCTGGTATCGTTGCGTTTTGGAGTATTGTTTCTGATTTATTGCCATAATACAATACATTAATAAAAAATATTTATATGTATGTACATATATCATTCTGGTAATATATTTGAATATATTGAGGTCTTCAAACAAAATAACCCACAATCAAAACCAAATCTATAAAGTTCCCAAATAAAGAGCCATGCCCATTCTCTAATTTGAAGGGCCTCTGCCCTCTCTCTTTGGTTCAAAGCTCTAGCCACATTGTCTCTATCTTGATCTATATTTTTTTTTATTATTTTTTTATCGACAACGAAATAAATTTTATTGATAAAGAAACAAAAACAAACTACAAAGAGAAGGCAAGGAGCCCACTCCAAAAACCAACAACTATTACGTCAAAAAAAATAAATAAAAAAGGGTAAATTATGCAAATTGTCCTTGTAATTTACACGATGTGTCAATTTAGTTCTTGTAATTTGCTCGATTTTGCTCCTTAATTTAACAGATTGTATCATATTGGTCTAATAAATAACGGTTGTTAGGTTTGGTAAACGGTCCATGTAGTTTACGTGATGTGCCAATTTGGTCCCTGTCAAAATCGATCAAATTAAAACAGTAAGGACCAAATTGACATATCGTGTAAACTAAAAGGACCTAATTGACATATCATTTGCGCACAAGACAACTTTCCGTCCACCAAACCTAACGATCGTTATTTATTGAACTAATATGACACAATTCATTAAATTAAGTGGGCAAAATTGAGTAAATTAAAATAATAGGGATCAAATTGACACATCGTGTAAACTATAGGAATCATTTGCATAATTTACCCAATAAAAAATAACCACACAAAACCTTATACATGACATACAACTTTTCAATCTCTAGAAATGTAAAAGAAAGGGATCCTCTTAAAATGAGGCGAAGAAGATGCCTAAATCAACGCCCAATGACATATTTTGTCCCATCACACCTCAACCTCCTCAATTTTGTCCTAAAAAAAAATTGCATTTCTATCGAACTAAATACCCAAAAGATAACCTTGGAACTCAATTAAGAACAAATTAGCACATTCCCCTTGGGCCACCCAATGAGAATCTGTCAACCCAACGAGCCAATTCCAAAGATTTGATGCAACTAGATGATTCACTGAATCCCCACTCTTTCTACACATAATTCACCACTGAGGACAAAGATAACGATAAGGCCTTCTTGATTGAAAATGGTAATTCATCAATACACATCCATGAATCAAGGATCATATAAAGATATTCACCTTCAGAGGCACACATGCTTTCCAAATTATTTTGTGAAACAAGAAAGAAAGAACATTAGGCTCATTAATAATAGTATCAAAGAATGATTTACTTGAAAAAATGCTTGTGGCATGACCCTGCCAAACTTGCTTATCACATGAATTCGGAGATGGGGAAATTCCATCAATTTCAAGAAATCGAAGCGACACTAGAAGAAATTGAAGAAGCAACGGACACAAAATGTAACCGATCAACCATATAAAGATGTGGAAATGACATGTTAAAGGAAGAATCCGCCGCACAAGTGTCCTCCCAAAACCGTGAATTCTCTCCATCACCCACTTTCAAAGTAAAAAAATCTGGATATTCGTAGGAGGATCTTAGAAATGGATTTCCATGGAGCACAATTGGTACCCCTGCTAACCACATGTGAGTCTCTCCCATTAGATTGAAGCCCATACTTTTAATGATGGCAAACCATAATGAATTTATTTCCAAATGGAATATTTATAACCACTTACCAAGTAGGTTGTGTTCCTAGCCACGACATTTCCTATCTAGCTAGTCCTGCTTTCTCCTTAGGAAGAGAAATAATGCTCCAATTCACCATATGATCTCTTTTTTTCTTCCCAAAGAAAATCCCTCATCGAATTTTCAATCTTCCTTGCAGTCCTACGGGATCTTGAAAATAGTACTTAACACAGAGTGCATGAGAGTGTACCTACCCCCCCTAGACAACACCTCTAATCTTTTGCCAATCTTTTCTAACACCGGAGACCAAAAAGATTCAAATATAGGATTATCTCCTAGTGACTCATCTCTCTCTAGAGTACACATTCTCTCTCTCCATGGGTTAGATCTTTCCTTTCTATACATATGTTCTCTCTCTCTCTCTCTCTATATATATATATATATGCTCCAGATGTTAGATCTGTGTTTTGTATACGTAAATCCATTTTCTTTATATACATATACTCCATATATGTTCTTTAAAATGTGACGTTTGACAAAAGAGAAGGCCGAGTGCAAATACTGGACGGAACACTGGTATGCTCAAAACCCAACCAAATTTCATGAAACAACCGAAATGGACTGGATCAGAGCAAAAAGAAAGACAAAACGGTATTGGCCCTCTTTAGTTCTGTTTTGTTTGAAAGAGTATGAACCGGCTGGAACGGAATGGGAATGATAACAATAATTTCAATATTTCTTTCCCTGTGGTTTGTTGGCTTCTTCAAAGAAAGCTGCTTTGAGTAGGAAACATGTTGCTTCATTTGCATTGTTGGGCCACATGCTTTTTCTTTTGATGGGTTGTGCTTTTGTGAACTATTTGAATGTACTCACCTTGCCCTCTGTGTTTTGCCTAGCCTTTTGCTGTTCGTGTGCCCTGGTGGTTACCCATATTGAGTTTCAATGTACTATCATATTTTTGGTAATAAAATAGCTTACGCTTACCAAAAACAAATATCAATAAAAAAGTATGTGACAGGATCATCTTAAGCTTTTAAAGTCCTACCTCTGAGTTTGGTTCATCAGAAGTTTCTGTTCCTCTCCCTCCATAAGCACCACATGATACATGGCGGTGCCACCATCCAAGTTTTCTGCTTACTCTTTCTCCTGTAACCATGACCCCAACTCTTCAAGACCTCCTTAACTGAACCTGACATCACCCAATGAATCCTAAAGATGAAAAGAATTAAATCCCCAACTGAACCTGACATCACCCAATGAATACCAAAGGTGAAAATAATTAAATCTCACAAAATTGTAGCCACATGACAATGCAGTAGAAGATGGTCCACTGTCTCTTCTGCTTCACAGCACATGCAGCATCTACTTGCCATCCTATAGCCTCTTTTCATCAAATTGTCAACACTAAGGATGGATCCCAAAACTGCCATGGAGCTTTTGTACCCTAGATGCTCTTACGAGGCAAAGCTATGTCATTTTCCTCATACATGTAATAAGAACTCACCCTAAATTTTCCAATCCTATCTCCCTTACAAGCCATGGTATTTTCTCTATCTCCACAAAAGGATGCACTGAACATTCTCTTAGAGAACTCATTGCCTCTTTTAGCTCATAAATTGAAATCCAATAACCTACAAAATTTCCCAATGATAACACCATACAAAGCCTGGAAGTACTCTTGTAGGAAGTATCTCCACATCACACTCTGTTCAAAAGCTGAATCATCTTGCTGTGAATAAGAGGAATGAACAACATGAAGACCATGAAAGTATAGTCTAGAAAAAGTTAGAAGCTAAGTAGGCTGCAGCATAATGACTTGTGAACTCTCTTTAACCTCTTAAACTGAAATAGAAATTTCCTTTTACTTCACCCATTTCAGTGTCATACAATGTAGACCAGTTAGGTAGTAGATGATTATTCTAAAGTGATTTGAAGTTTGAAAACAACATTATTGATTCTAGAACATGCTCATGATGGAGGTTTTACCATAATGTCTACTAGAAAGTCAAAGTGAGTTTCCTGAATAGGGCAAGTAGTTTTTCAACTTTCTCTCTAACATTTTGGTGCTTTCCTAGGCCCACATGCAGGCTGGCACTGGGGAGCTCCATTGTGGTTTGAGCTTTGCCTCCCCTGTATCAATTTCTTTTGGAGTCCAATTCCAAGAAGAAAAAAAACTAAAGTTTAAATGCCTGTTCATATCTCAAACATGAGCACATATAATGCTGACTTAATTTCGTTGATTTTTACTAAATGAATTTACTCTATATCTTTTAATCTTGTACATGATTGAGGCATAATTTTATTCATGCAGCGACTTATTTTAGATTCTTTTTATTTTATTTTATTTGTGTTGAATAGATATGCCTTATTCAAACTTGGTCTTCATTTTGTCAGGTTTTGGCTTCTGAGGATGATCAGGATGCACTGACAACTGACCCTGATGAACTCATTGATTCTGAGGATAGTGAAGGGATAAGCGGAGATGAAGAAGACATCTTTAGAAATCTTCTTTCTAGAGCAGGGTTTCACCTCACATATGGAGACAATCCTTCACAGCCACAGGTCACTTTAAGAGAAAAGCTTCTCATGGATGCTGGTGCAATAGCTGGTTTTCTGACTGGACTTCGTGTTTATCTTGATGACCCTGCTAAAGTAAAGCGCTTGCTTCTTCCAACCAAACTTTCTGGTGGTAATGATGGCAAGAAGGTCACCAAGAACGATGAATCTTCCCCCAGCCTGATGAATTTGTTGATGGGAGTCAAAGTGCTGCAGCAGGCAATCATTGATCTACTCTTAGACATAATGGTTGAATGTTGCCAACCTTCAGAAGAAAGTTCTAATGATGATTCCTCAGATGCAAACTTCAAGCCTTCTCCAGATGGCAGTGGAACTATCAGTCCACTGGAATCTGACAGGGAAAATGGAGCAATAGAATCTTCATCTCTCCACATACATGATAGATTGGATTCTGGGATAGATAAAGGCACAAATACATCTGCTGTACAAAGTTCTGACATGAATGGGATGGTTATGCCTGATAAAACTGTTCCTGGACTACCTATTTGTCCACCCGAGACGTCTGCTGGTTCTTCAGAAAATGCTTCCTTCCGGTCTAAGGTACAGTGAATTGTCTCAAGTGTTAAAACTTACTCTCTTGAATTTTATGGCGTTGACTAATTGATGGAAATGTTATCTCAGACCAAATGGCCAGAGCAGTCTGAGGAGCTCCTGGGGTTGATTGTGAACTCACTAAGGGCACTAGATGGAGCTGTTCCACAAGGTTGTCCTGAGCCAAGAAGGCGGCCCCAATCTGCACAAAAGATTTCTCTTGTATTGGATAAAGCTCCTAAGCATCTGCAGCCGGACTTGGTTGCGTTGGTACCCAAATTAGTTGACCATTCAGAGCATCCACTTGCTGCTCGTGCACTTCTAGATCGAGTTCAAAGGCCTGATGCAGAACCTGCACTACGAGTACCTGTAAGACAATTTGAAAGGGGTTTCTTTATTTCCTTCCTGTTGTCTTATTGGGATGTGCTTTAATATTGTGAGCACATTTGCTGTGTTAAATTTTCCACGGAACACTTGTATCAATTCTGAATGTAGTTTATTCTGAATTTTGCAGAAAATTTGTTGAGTTAATTTGTTGCTATTTGTTTTGTAATCATCAATCTTTGTTCCTCAGGTTTTTGGTGCTCTTAGCCAGTTGGAATGTAGCGCTGACGTGTGGGTACGCGTTCTTTTTCAATCTTTTGAACTTTTGGCTGATTCAAACGATGAACCTCTAGCAGCAACTGTGGATTTTATTTTTAAGGCCGCATTGCAGTGCCAACATCTTCCACAAGCGGTATGCTTCAAATTTTTTTGGTACTTAAATGGGACCCTTTTATGTTCAATTATTAGTCATGCTTTCTTTTGATGGTATCTAACTTCTTTTTCTTACCCCCTGTAGGTTAGATCTGTTCGTGTTAGGCTAAAAGATTTGGGTGCTCAGGTGTCCCCCTGTGTTCTTGATTATTTAAGTAGAATGGTAAATAGTTGTGCAGATGTTGCTGAAGCTATTTTAAGAGACATTGATTGTGACGATGACTTAGGTGACAATGGTCCTGCAATTCCCAGCGGGCTCTTCATATTTGGTGAAAATGGGCCTACTTCTGAAAGATTGCATGCAGTGGATGAGCATGCTTATTGTGCTAGTAGTTATTTTTCCGATATATATATTTTGATTGAAATGTTATCTATTCCCTGCGTTGCTGTTGAAGCTTCCCAAACTTTTGAGAGGGCTGTAGCTCGAGGGGCAATAATGGCACAATCAGTAGCCATGGTCTTAGAAAGACGCCTTGCTCGGAGATTAAATTTTACTTCGCAATTTGTTGCTGACAATTTTCAGCATGCAGATGTTGTTATAGAGGGAGAAACCATCGAGCAGTTGAGAGCTCAGAGAGATGACTTCACTTCTGTTCTTGGTCTTGCTGAGACATTGGTCCTTTCTAGAGACCCCCGTGTGAGAAGCTTTGTGAAGATGCTTTATACAATATTGTTTAAATGGTATGCTGACGAGTCTTATCGACTGAGGATGCTGAAGAGACTTGTTGACCGCGCCACCAGCACGACAGATAGTAGCCATGAGGTAGATTTAGATTTAGAAATTCTGGTAATTTTGATATGCGAGGAGCAAGACATTGTTAGACCAGTTCTGACCATGATGAGGGAGGTTGCTGAACTTGCCAATGTTGATCGGGCAGCTCTTTGGCATCAGTTATGTGCCAGTGAAGACGAGATTATCCGTTTTCGTGAAGAAAGAAAAGCTGAGATCTCCAGTATGGCTAAAGAAAAGGCTACCATATCACAGAGGCTGAGTGAATCTGAGGCTACTACCAACCGTCTTAAGGTACCTGTCTGTTCTAATTGATGATGCAGTTCCAGTTAATCTTTATGGGATTGTTAGAATTGACACCTTCATGTAATGACAGTCTGAAATGAAGGCTGAGATGGATCGTTCTAGTCGGGAAAGAAGGGAGCTTTCTGAGCAGATAGAAGAAATTGAGAGTCAACTTGAATGGCTTCGCTCAGAACGGGATGATGAAATTGGAAAGCTCACTGCTGAGAAGAAAGTTCTTCAGGATCGTCTACATGATGCAGAGACACAACTTTCTCAACTGAAGTCCCGAAAACGTGATGAATTGAAGGTAGCAAATTTGTACCGCTATGCATTTTTGTATTTTTTTTCTTCCCTCCCTTAGTTAATGGAAATGGTCACTAGTTTACTTACCCAAAAAATAAAGGAAATGGTCACTAGTCACTTTTGGTGTTTCCAACAAGCTTGCCTTGGCATTTATTTTCTTTGTTTTATTGTTTTTTAGTTTTTTTTTTTCATGTCAACAATTGAAAGTCAATCTCATACTTTAGGGGGCTTTCCCAGCATGTTGTGGACACTTGCAAAACCTGACCATGTAGCATGGATGCTTCATAATAGGGTCCATGCACAAATTTGAATAAAATACCAAAAAGTGTTTTCATTTTTTATCCTCCTAGAAAATTTGACACTTTATGCATGGACGTCATGCATCCTTGGTACTCTTTTCAGCATGGGATATAATTATAATAATATTATTGTAGTGTACATAATAGGATTATGCATTTGATAGATCGGATAATCATTGTTGTATTTCATTTTCTACATTATGCATTTCTTAGTATAGTAGTTTTGATTATTCATCAAATATACGTGTGTCTTATGCATCATATGATGTAAATGTACAACCCAGTGCAATGCATGGGAGTCAACAGCATTTTTTATTTCATGCATGTAAATTTTAAAGAAAGAGATGCTTTTGTTGTCAAAGGGGTAAGGCACTTACAACACGTTTGTTTGGAGGGATAGAGGCATGGAATAGGACTCCATGTCCGGTGGATGGAATAGTCCATTGTTTGGTTCATAAATTTTGTACCGGACTGTTAGTCCCAAATACGTTGAACTGTTCTGTCCCAGGGGTGTGTGTGGGGGACAGAAAACCCAGGATAGCTCGTCCATGGGACATAAGACCATTCAAACATTATACATATTATTTGTCAAAAAGTGCATGATAATGTAAGCAACACGAATAGAAAAAGGTAGCAGATGAAGCAAGAAATCTTGCAATAATCATATCCAGCAGTCAGGCCCCATTTGGTATCACTTGTAAGTTAGGTTTTTATATTATTAGTTTAAAAAAATTAAAATAAGTTGTAAATCTATTTGGTGCAGCTTTTGATATTCTGTGAAAAAAGTTGAACTTGTTTGGTTAAATAAGCTATCACATTGCTCTTTATTGTGCAAATATCCTGAATATTCTCAAAAGTTACAATTAAGATAAAAGAGACGGGGCTTTTTGTTTAATTTTATTAAAGGATTTCAAATAAGCTAAAAAAGGCTACAAATTATTATAGCTTAAAAAAATCTCACTTTATGTTGACCAAATAAGCTAAAAAATAATTTAAAATTTCAACAAAAAATCATTAGTTAACTATTTTTAAGCAAATAAGCTGAATAAATTGACTTATAAGTGTTACCAAATGGGGCCTTCATCCAGCTACAAAGAAACTGGCCCTTCACAGATTTTACAAACACAAGTTATTTTTTGTTATTCTGAATATATCTACTTTAATGAAAAGTTGGCATTAATTTTAACAATCATTATGTACCGGTGAAAAATTACCGGAAAATTGCTTTATATGATATGAAGAAGCTATATGGTGTAGGATGAAGCCCAACGAAACATACCATACAATCGTATTAGGTGGGCTAGAGTTTTAATGTTAGGAAATTTTGGTTCATTAGGTAAGATTGAAGTTTAAGATGAGCTTAGTCTTGATTTTGGTATGGTATTGAACGATAATGCTTGCTAAAAATTCTGGACATGAGGAAAACTTGAACGGTTTTAGACTAGAACCTAGAAGAAATCGATGAAGTCCTACTGCTGAAAAGAGCCAAATCTGTAGGTCACCATGCTTGGTTATCATTTTTCAAAAACACTTTTCAGAAAATTTTACTTTTTTATTTTCCGTGTTTTTTTGTTTTTACTGAATTTTTTAAATATTTTGAGCAATTTTTTTAATTTTTAGACATACCTAACATAAATATACCTAAAAAGTAAAAAAAAATTGAAAAAAACCGTTTAAAAATTCACTAAATACCAAAAATACAAAAAAAATAATAGAATTTAGTACATTTTTTTGTATTTTTATGTATTTATTAATTTTTAAAAATATTTTTTCACAATTTTTTTACTTTTTAGATACATCTAAGTAAGGTGCATTTAAAACGTAAAAAAAATGTTTAAAATTTTAAAAATATTCACTAAAAACAAAAAAAGACGAAAACCAAAAAACTCAATTTTCAAAAAACTTAATTCAGAAAACTCAAACCAAACGCACTATCCTTGTGAGTTATAACCAGTAGCTTCCCTACTAGGAAAAATATTTCCTAATTCCAACTAAACCAAGATTTTCTAAACTACTTAAGACTCATCCAAACCTAGAGTTTGGGGAAGGGGGCTATGGGGGAGGCGGTGGGGCGTTGCAGAGGGCTGATGGGGAGGGGACGGGATGGTGGGGAAAAGTGGCTGTGTAAGGGAGGAGAGAGGTGGGCATTGGCAGTGTGATGGGGACAGGGTGGCACCAGCAAAGATGGGCGGCAGTGGCTGTCTAGAAATGGGGTGAGAAGAGAAACAAGGGTTTCAAAACTTTAGGATTTGTGGACTTTAATGTAATTTTACGTAACGATAAAAAAAATTGAAAATGAAGGGTGTGATGAGATAAAATGGTGGTGTAAATAGAATCACCCCTATAATTCTAAACCCTAAATCCTAATCCCTAAATTACCATGATATATTAATACGTAGGCTAAAAGTTATTAAGTACATTTCTGCTAAGCCAAAGCTTAGTTATATACACGGTTCCAATATTTGGTGTTTATTTAGTTTTGTTTCTTTTTTTTTTTTTTTGGCTTGATCTTCTTATGATTTGTATAATCTTTACTCTTCTATGTAAAGACATCAGTTTTCTCTATTGGAGAATTCTAGTAAATATTATTATTACTACATCAAGTCCTGAAGAATGCTTTTGAGATTTCGTTTACATTGTATTTGTTAAATTTCTTGAGCAACTCTTTTGATACAATGATGTCTGTGTCTAATCTTAATAGAGTTTTCCCTTATATTGTTTATGAGGACACTTTTTTCATTTGAATTGGTGAAAACTGTTCTACCAACAATATCTTGTTTCCTTAGGTCCAAAATTCTAGAAGTCCATTTCTGTAGCGTTGCTTTATTGGAAGAACAATATAACTGCTAAATATTGGAAGTTTTATTTATTCTAAAATCAACACAAAAATTGGAAGTGCCTGATGATGATTTGCATTCTTGGCACATGCAGAAGCAAATTTTTGAGTCCCAAATTTATTTGATGAGCGTGTTTTTGTTTTGAATGCTCGATCTATCTTGCCTTCCTCACAGAGGTTGAGACATTGAGTATTCAGTTGTTTTCCTTGTACCTTTCCTGACAATATTTTCTTTTAATGTCACAGAAAATAGTGAAGGAGAAGAATGCGCTTGCTGAACGGTTGAAGAGTGCTGAGGCTGCACGGAAAAGGTTTGATGAAGAACTGAAGCGCTATGCAACAGAAAATGTGACCCGAGAGGAAATTAGGCAGTCCCTTGAGGATGAAGTTCGACGGTTGACACATACAGTTGGCCAAACTGAAGGGGAAAAACGTGAGAAGGAAGAACAGGTTGCTCGATGCGAAGCATACATTGATGGGATGGAAGCCAAGTTGCAGGCTTGCCAGGTTTTACCTCTTAACATAGCATCATATTTTTGGTGTTTTCATGATCTAATTCTGGTTTTCTTTGTGTGGATAACATTTGAGTGTACCTTGATTTGATCAATTACTCTCTCTCTCTCTCTCTCTCCTATTTCTCTTGGGCCCATTGATTTATACTTAAAATGTACCGTGTAAGTTGTACTTTTTTTGGTGATCTCCTGAATGGACCTAATTTTGAACTCGGACCTGTTTTTAGCCTGCTGTATAGAATCTGTGGCTGATATCACCCATCCAGTGTATTGCCTTAATGTTTAATTGGTTGGAACCTATGAAGCATGGACACTCCAAAATTGGTGCTGTGGGGGTATCCGACACGCGGACACACCGGGGACATGCTAGATGGCGTGTCCCTTTAATTTAATGATTTTTTTGCAGTGGATATGGTAGGGACATGAGTGTCCATATCGGGACACAGCATGGGACACAGCGGGGCTCACTTTATATATATATATATATATTTTCTTTTGCCTCTCTTATTTAATGCTTTTGTGAAGAATATTGTTGGATGTTGAATGTTTTTCCCTTCTCGTCTTAGTTCTTGTTATTATTTATTATGATTTTTTTGTAAATAGATGATCTATTAATTTGTTTAAATGTAATTGTTATATTTATTGAATTAATGTTACTATGTTAGTGTTTGTTAATTTTGATTTAGGATGAATGTAATATGAATGTACATAACACATAAAAATATATAAAAATAAAAAATAAAAAATCGCCGTGTCCGTGTTCGTGTCCATGTACGTGCTTCATTGGTTGGAACCGTTGGGTGACCTTGAATAGGACTGTTTGGTGCAGCTTATAGCTTATTTTATTTTGGGAATCTATGCCAAGGTATTTGGTACAACTTATGCTTATAGATTATGGGACAAAAATAACTAAAATTGGCTAAAAAAAAGGTTTATTATCTGGAAGTTGGGGAAGGGATGCTTTTAACTTTTGCTTTTTGGTTATCAACTTTCAGCTTGAAAAAAAGTTGCACCAAACAGGCTTAATGGGCAGTAGTTGATAGGAGCCACTAGACTTAATTACTTGTCCAGTAAATAGACTTAGACTGGCGGGGCACTAACGTTTCTATCATGGAGAATCCTTAAGTGAAAATGGCTAATTTACCTCGTCTCCTTGCAGCAATACATTCATAGCCTGGAGGCTTCACTACAGGAAGAAATGTCGCGACATGCCCCTCTATATGGTGCCGGCTTGGAAGCTCTATCCATGAAGGAGTTGGAGACGTTGTCACGTATCCACGAAGAAGGGCTGAGGCAGATCCATGCCCTCCAACAGCGTAAAGGGAGTCCAGCTGGAAGTCCTCTTATGAGCCCCCACACCACCCTCCCACATTCTCATGGGTTGTATGCTGCTGTTACGCCACCACCTCCAATGGCCGTTGGATTGCCCCCTTCTCTCATCCCAAATGGAGGTGGGGTCCACAGCAATGGGCACGTGAATGGTGGTGCTGCAGTTGGCCCCTGGTTCAACAACCATACTTGAAACCCCCACAAGGCTGGATGTTCACTTTTGTCGAGGTAGGTGACATCGCTCTCATTTTCTCACTGGTCTCCTCCTTTCGCCTATTGGGGAGCTCTCGGTGTTGTCTCAATATAAAAGGTTTTTTTTTAAATATTATTTTTGAGTTTTTTTTTTTTTTTGGGTGGCATTTTGGCTGGTAGGGCTGTTGGAACAAATGGTGGGAAAAAGAAATAATGTAGAGTTTGATAGATGGAATGAATGGGAATGAGTAAGTGAGTCCAATAGAATTAACAGTTGTAAATGCCATACTTATATCAATTTTTCCCCTTAATATTAATTCAAGGCGTTGAGAAAATTTTGTCTACTTTTGTGTGCCTTTTTTTTTTGTTTTGTAGGTTACATGGAAATTGACACACCCACACCCACAACCCTGTTAAACAAGGATAGAACAGTAATTTTATTATTTATTTAAGCGGTAATTATAAACACTTCCCTTGAGATTTTTGACAATTATAGAAATCTCTTTTGTAGTTTTTAAAATTATATTACTCTCTTGCTTTTATTGTTAATCTCAGTTAATTGACGTTTCTGGTAGAGAAGGCATTGTAATTTCAAAAACTACAAAAGAGGTTTGTATGTGTCAAAAATCACAAAGGAGGTTTGTGTAGTCGGCCCTTTATTTAATAAATTGACATGAGAGGTCAGTGATATTTCAAAAAATAGGAAGAGCGACGCCATGATTTTTAAAAAAAAATTAAGTGATATTAGTGTATACACCTAAATTTCAAAGAAAAACAAAAAATGTACAAAATAAAAAGATAAACCTCTTATATGTTCGGAGTAAATATAAGTACTTATGGGTGTAAATTTGGCTCGGCTTGACCTAACCCACTCAGGTCTAGGCTTGGGCATGCTCATGTGAGGCCTCGCAGGTGTTTGCCAAAATTCAGGCTAGGGCACGGGTCATAAAATTAGGCCTAGGCCCATGGGTTATTCAGGCCTTGGGCGAACTGGTGGGCCTGGGCTTGGGTTCGGGCATGGGTAAGGTTTGAATATTTTTTTAAATTTTTTTCATTAAAATTTTATTTTTTTCACCAAAAATGACATTGGGCCTCGGGCAGGGCATTGAGCAGGCTGATGGGTCGAGCTATATGTTGGCTAGGGGTGTGCATAATACCGCCGAAATCGCCGAAACTACCAAAATCGTATCGAACCGCACCGCCAAGGCAAATTCGTTATTATTTGCCAATCGAACCGCCGATTTTTGGTAAGAAAAATGGCAAATTCTAGTGATACTTTTATCAATTCGCTGGTTTCTATTTTTCTTCTAAATCGCACCGACCCGCACCGTTATTAAATCATGTTTTATAAGATTCTAAAAATTATTTTTTACTTAAATTTGCTTGTTGTTCTATACCTTAGAATATAGTATTACATTACTGCTCGAGGGGAATTCAAGATGTCAGTAATCCAAAATAAAGTTGGATTCCAATTCACTTTTCAATCTTTTTTTTTTTTTCTGGCCATGTTGCAAATTTGCATCAGCTCACTTTTCAATCTAAATACTTTTCAACAATAAACATTTTCAATATATTGTAAATCCTGAATGATATTAATTTTATATATTGTATTTGATCATTGTAACTTCCACAGATGTTTGTAATGAATTGATGGCATAGTCGTTGATATTATCATGTTGTTGCTACACTTGCTGCATCAGAAGAAAGCTTCGCAAGATGCTTAATATCACGGTATCTCTCGTCTTTTTTTTACTCTTTGATTTAAGTTTTGTAATTTGAATAATATTTTTTATAAACCGTCAATTCGCCCAAACCGCCAAGGCAAATTCGCCATTATTTGCCAATCAAACCGCCGATTTTTGATAAGGAAAATGACAATTCTAGTGACACTTTTATCAATCCGCCACCTTCTATTTTTCTTCCAAACCGCACCGACCCGCACCGCGCACACCCCTAATCACATATGTAATCTACAATAACTCTTTACTTTTTCTTAATCTAACGAACAACATGTTCTCAAATAGGATATTTCAATCCATTATAACTTCAACAATGTTCCTTTCAGCCTGTTTGATTTAGTCCCAGCCACTTAATAACTCGCATTTGATAAAGGAGACCATTTTTTGTTTCATAACTTGCATTTGATTAAGGAACCCCCTTCACTGTTCAATCTTCAGTAACAAATATAGGATGATTAGTTCTTTAATACACATAGTTAATTTAGCTCCAGTAGACTGAAAATAAAGTTATGTTTTAAAAATGTTGAACCTATATATGACTGGTAGACTTCCTCAGCAGAAATATCCCAAAAGCAGCCCAACGAACTAGCATGACTACTAGCTAGCTAAGAGGGGTTTATACAACCGATGAAAGCAAATTAAATGTAAATTAGTTTCTTGGAAACTTGTCAAACTTTGCAACGATATGGACCGAAAGCAAATTAAATGTGAATTAGTTTCTTGGAAACTTGTCAAACTTTGCAACGATATGGACCGAAAGCAAATTAAATGTGAATTAGTTTCTTGGAAACTTGTCAAACTTTGCAACGATATGGACCGAAAGCAAATTAAATGTGAATTAGTTTCTTGGAAACTTGTCAAACTTTGCAACGATATGGACCGAAAGCAAATTAAATGTGAATTAGTTTCTTGGAAACTTGTCAAACTTTGCAACGATATGGACCGAAAGCAAATTAAATGTGAATTAGTTTCTTGGAAACTTGTCAAACTTTGCAACGATATGGACCGAAAGCAAATTAAATGTGAATTAGTTTCTTGGAAACTTGTCAAACTTTGCAACGATATGGACCGAAAGCAAATTAAATGTGAATTAGTTTCTTGGAAACTTGTCAAACTTTGCAACGATATGGACCGAAAGCAAATTAAATGTGAATTAGTTTCTTGGAAACTTGTCAAACTTTGCAACGATATGGACCGAAAGCAAATTAAATGTGAATTAGTTTCTTGGAAACTTGTCAAACTTTGCAACGATATGGACCGAAAGCAAATTAAATGTGAATTAGTTTCTTGGAAACTTGTCAAACTTTGCAACGATATGGACCGAAAGCAAATTAAATGTGAATTAGTTTCTTGGAAACTTGTCAAACTTTGCAACGATATGGACCGAAAGCAAATTAAATGTGAATTAGTTTCTTGGAAACTTGTCAAACTTTGCAACGATATGGACCGAAAGCAAATTAAATGTGAATTAGTTTCTTGGAAACTTGTCAAACTTTGCAACGATATGGACCGAAAGCAAATTAAATGTGAATTAGTTTCTTGGAAACTTGTCAAACTTTGCAACGATATGGACCGAAAGCAAATTAAATGTGAATTAGTTTCTTGGAAACTTGTCAAACTTTGCAACGATATGGACCGAAAGCAAATTAAATGTGAATTAGTTTCTTGGAAACTTGTCAAACTTTGCAACGATATGGACCGAAAGCAAATTAAATGTGAATTAGTTTCTTGGAAACTTGTCAAACTTTGCAACGATATGGACCGAAAGCAAATTAAATGTGAATTAGTTTCTTGGAAACTTGTCAAACTTTGCAACGATATGGACCGAAAGCAAATTAAATGTGAATTAGTTTCTTGGAAACTTGTCAAACTTTGCAACGATATGGACCGAAAGCAAATTAAATGTGAATTAGTTTCTTGGAAACTTGTCAAACTTTGCAACGATATGGACCGAAAGCAAATTAAATGTGAATTAGTTTCTTGGAAACTTGTCAAACTTTGCAACGATATGGACCGAAAGCAAATTAAATGTGAATTAGTTTCTTGGAAACTTGTCAAACTTTGCAACGATATGGACCGAAAGCAAATTAAATGTGAATTAGTTTCTTGGAAACTTGTCAAACTTTGCAACGATATGGACCGAAAGCAAATTAAATGTGAATTAGTTTCTTGGAAACTTGTCAAACTTTGCAACGATATGGACCGAAAGCAAATTAAATGTGAATTAGTTTCTTGGAAACTTGTCAAACTTTGCAACGATATGGACCGAAAGCAAATTAAATGTGAATTAGTTTCTTGGAAACTTGTCAAACTTTGCAACGATATGGACCGAAAGCAAATTAAATGTGAATTAGTTTCTTGGAAACTTGTCAAACTTTGCAACGATATGGACCGAAAGCAAATTAAATGTGAATTAGTTTCTTGGAAACTTGTCAAACTTTGCAACGATATGGACCGATCTAATCTCAACCTGCCATTTGTCACCACTTTCCACCACCGTCTTCTGCCACCATCACCCACCACCTGCCACCATTTTCCACCACTATCTTCCGCCACCACCACCTGCCATCATTTTTCACCACTGTCTTCCGCCGCCACCACTACCCACCACCCACCACTCGCCACCACTTTCCACTACCGTCTTCCGCCGCCACTTGCTACCACTTGCCATTTCTCATTCTTTTTTATATTTTTAAATTTTTTTAAACATTTTGTCAATTACCAAACACGTTTGTAGCTTATGTTTTTCTAAAAATAAACAAAAAAATAAACAAAAACCAGTTTATAAATTTTTTGTAAATATAAACTGAAAACGTAAACGTTACCAAACACACCCAAGTATCATGAAAAACTTTTCAGGAAAACAATCATGAAAGCTTTGTGACCCTTGGATTACACTTAGAATAAAGCACCACACACTAATTAAGGTAATTCAAGGATCATAAATCTCTCATGATTATTTTCATGAAAAATTTTTCATGATCCCTAACTTTTCTAAAAAAAAAATCACTACTGATTCAGTGCTCTAAATTTGTACCATTAATGTCCATTCTAATGAGCTGACAGAGTAAGAAAAAAAAAAAAAAAAAAAAAAAAATTAAAAAGAAATGAAAAGAGAAAAATAGCACCACGTCATTAGTGGTCTGAAGTATTTTTTAAAAAAAATTAACTATAATGAAGTATAATATTTTAATTATTCAAATGTATAATTTTTTTTATTAATTTATAATTTTTTTTTTCCTGCTCAACTGCTCTATTATTTTCCCTATGGACAATCACTTGATCAGGATCATCAAAACCAACTCCATATATATTCTTAGTTTGAGATCATGTTATTGTAATAATTTTTTTATAAAAAGATATATAAAATAATAAAAAGGGTGATATGATAATTTATACTGATATTTTAACCAAAAAAAAGAAAATTTTCGTTACAAACGAGGATTAGATGGGCACGAAATTTTGAAGACGTGTTATAGTAATAATTTTCAAACCAAAAAACGAGATCAAACAAATCACTAAATACTATCCGTTAAAAGAGATGAGATATGTATTTGGTTTGACTTGGCGTTGTCTACACCACATCATCATATGAT